TTGGACCGTCCTGCCTGGTGTGGTGTTTGTGTGTGTGATGTTGGACCGCCCTGCCTGGTGGTATGTGTGTGTGTGTGTATGTGTGTGTGTGTGTGTGTGTGCGTGTGTGTGTGTGTGATGTTGGACTGCCCTGCCTGGTGGGGTGTGTGTGTGTGTGTGTGTGTGTGTGTGTGTGTGATGTTGGACCGCCCTGCCTGATGGTGTACCCGGGGATGGGTCAGGTGAGCAGTTTCTGCCTGGGCTGCACCAGAATTCCAGACTCCCAGCGGGGACACGGGTGTTCTGCCTAAACTAGTGGTACAAACAGCTCAGGGCCAGCAAGGTGGGGTGAGGGGAGCCCCCCAAAATCCCAGTACCCAAATGCCAGTCAAGGGCCAGCTCAGCCAGCGGGCCTCATGATGGCCATCCTCGCCCACGGCGTGGACACTTTCTGCACACGGCCATGGGGTTTCCTTTCTGGCGCCGGGGCTTGACACAACACAGCTTCAGGGGAGCCCCCAGGCAACCCCACCCGGGGCAAGTGCTGCTGTCAGATCACTAGCCATTCCCAGCCCTCGGGCCTGCTTACCCTCAGACTTATGTGTGGTGAGGGTGGCATGGGGCTGCCAGGACAACTGGGAAGGACAGGGACCTCTTGGCATGGGAGCAGCCCAGGACCACCCATGGGTGGGGACCCTCAGGCAGGGGTCTTTGGTTGTGAACAAGAATGAATTCCAGTCATACTTTTTAGGAAACGAATTTATTGGAAGGGTCTGACCCTTTCCTGTTGTCAGGGAAGACAGAACGAGGCCGAGGCCACAACTGGGCAGAGGCCGGCCTCACCACTGAGCCGGGCAGCGACAAGAAACCCACACCTGACGCGGGTCTGCCCTCGCTTCTTGCCACACCGGGCCATGGCCTGGGAGGACCAGGCTGGCCTTGCTGGGGTCACTGCCCACCTGTTGCTGGGGAGGCAGGGCTGGGTACTTGGGGAAAAGTCAAGACTTGAAGAAACAGCTGAGCTGCTGCCAGAAGGAGGACTGCATGCTGGGTGGCCAGCTGACCACGGACGCCACGGCAGGCTCAGGAGCAGGGGCTACGCAGCCATCAAGGGCAAGGAATCCAGGGGTGCAGGTGGCAGCGAGCGCTCAGGCTTTGGATGATCTTAAGGAGATCACTCAGCAGCTGAACTTCTGGGTGGAGGTGGGGCCACAGCAGGCTGGGTGGGAGCACGCGGGGCGGCAGAGGAGGGACACGCAGGAGGCCGGGCGGCAGCAGCTGGGCTGGCAGGAGGAGGCGGGGGCACAGCAGGAGGAGGCGGGGGCACAGCAGGAGGGGACGGGCACGCAGCAGGCAGGCCTGCACACGGGGCGGCAGAGCAGGGACATGGAGGAGGAGGGTCTGCAGCAGGAGGTGGTGCAGCAGGCTGGCTGGCAGCTAGACTGCTGGCAGCATGAAAAGGAGGACTCTGAGCAGACAGGCACACAGCACACGGTCTTGCAGCAGATGGACTTGCAGCAGATAGGCACACAGCAGGCCTGCTGACAGGGGGAGGAGGTACAACAAGCTGGCTGGCAGCTAGACTGCTGGCAGCATGAAGAGGAATCCTCAGAGCAGGTGGGCACACAGCAGACAGGTTTGCAGCAGACAGACTTGTAGCAGAGGGGCACACAGCAGGCCTGCTGGCAGGGGGAGGAGGTGCAGCAAGCTGGCTGGCAGCTAGACTGCTGGCAGCATGAGGGCATGCAGGAGCTGGTGCAGCCTGATTGGCAGGGGCTGGGCTCACAAGCTGCCTGGCAGCAGGGGCTGGACACACAGCTCACACAGTTAGACTGTTGGCAGCATGAAGAGGAGCCCTCAGAGCAGGTGGGCACGCAGCACACGGGCTTGCAGCAGACAGGCACAGAGCAGGCCTGCTGGCAGGAGGAGGAGGTACAACAAGCTGGCTGGCAGCCAGACTGCTGGCAGCACGAGGGCGTGCAGGAGCTGGTGCAGCCCGACTGGCAGGGGCTGGGCTCACAGGCCGCCTGGCAGCAGGGGCTGGACACACAGCTCACTGGGGTGCAGACCAGGGTCAGGCAGGGGGCCGGGGCACAGCAGCTGGGGGCGCAGCAGGGGGGCTCGCAGCAGCTCTCTGGGCAGTCGTCCACCTGCCAGGAGTCGGAGCAAGAGTCACAGGAGCCGGGCAGGCAGACGCGGCTGCCGTAGCTCAGGTTGCTGGAGCAGACGGACATGGTGGACGCGGCCATGCTGGGGTTGAGCTGGGGCAGATGGGAGTGAGTGGGTGAGTGTGTGTGTGTGTGTGAGTGTGTGTTAGGTGCTCTGGGCTGTCGGCTTTTATATCTCTCCCTGGCCTGTTGGTCCAGCAGGAGTGTAAACAGCTCCCGCCCCTTCCTTGTTTCTGCTGAAAACCTAGAGGATGCTTATTAGTGTGACTTTCTTGTTTAGTCCTAGGAGATGCCATTCAGTTTGTAAAGTCCTGAGTCTATATTTGGGTCTGTTGACGCATCCTCACCTAACTTGGCTCCAGAGCATAATACTGAGGTAGACAGGGGGCCTGTGCTGGCTGCAGGAGAGATCTGTCCGTCCTGCTCCCAGTGCCTGTGGGCCATCACCAGGGACTCTGCTTGTCTGGGTTGCTGTGGCTTCTGGAATTTATCAGGCCAGAAAAGCCCCAGTCATCACTGGCGTGAGGGTGGAATGCTTCTAGAAGTGACTCCCCATACTCCCTCTGGTGCCTGAAGTCCCCACAAGGGCTTTAGAGCAAGTGGCAAACAAGAGAGGATGGAGAGCGGAGTGAGCCCTTTCCCGTCAGGCTCACAGCGGTTCCTGGTGGGCTGTGCACCCCGTCTTCCATCTGGGCACTTAGGGAGGCCGAGGATCCTGTTTGGGGCCTCACATCTCCACTTGATTTTATCCCAAACACTGCAAACCTGTGAGTCTAACCCAGAACTCCCAATGCATCTTCCCTGCAGAAAGCACAGCCACTCGCCACAGCACAGCCGTGTGAACGCTGCAAGCACTGCTCTGCGCTGCAGTGTTTTTCCTGATTGCTAAGTGACTAAGTCTTGGTCACCCCAGCTGGACATCTCGCCTAGGTCTCCATTTCTCCTGCAAATAATATCCAGTTGGCCACCAGGTCTTTTTGGTTCTTTCTGCTCAATGTTTCTAGTGTTGCTGGATGCTTTTACTTCTCAAGCATTCATTCATTCACGATGCAGCGAATCTTCAATGTGCTGGAAATTGGACCAGGTGAGGAGAAGGCAAAGGTGCAGGAGGGCTAGCCCTGACTGTGGACCCCCACCAGGGAGGTGCTGGGCTGCCTGGTGCCTGAGCTGTCAGTGATGACCGGGCATGGCCCAGCACACAACACAGACTGGCTGATGAGAACGCTGTGAGCAGAGGCTCGTGAGACCCTAACGCTACACTTCCTGCAGGAGCAACGGCTCCATATTTGGTTATTCGGCGCTGGTAGAGATTGTACAGAACAGAACCTCTGGGAATAATGAGAATGGGCTGTGTGTGCATATACGGAAGAGCCAGGCAGACAGACGGAGAGAGACGGAGAGAAAGAACAGGAGAAAGTAGCTGCTTCCTGAGAAGGGAATTGGGCGACTGCTTGTGTTAACTTAAAAACATCACAAATCTGGCCAGGCGCAATGGCTCAGGCCTGTAATCCTAGAATGTTTGGGAGGTCAACGTGGGTGGATCACTTGAGTGAGGAGTTTGAGACCAGCCTGGCCAACATGATGAAACCCTGTCTCTACTAAAAATACAAAAATTAGCCAGGCATGGTGGGTTATGCCTGTAATCCCAGCTACTCAGAAGGCTGAGACAGGAGAATTGCTTGAACCAGGAGGTGGAGGCTGTAGTGAGCTGAGATTGTGCCACTGCACTCTAGTCTGGGCAGCAGAGTGAGATTCCATCTAAAAAAAAAAAAAAAAATCACTAATCTATAAGTTTGGAAAAAAAGAGGAGACTTTGTTTCTGGTCAAGGGGCACAGGCTGCAAGAAAGCCATCCCCAGGCTGGGAAGCCCAGCCTCTGCCCAAGACCACAGCCAGGAGGAGGCGCTTCAGGGCGGGAGGGCCTGGGCAGGAGCTCCATGCTGGCCAGGCTAGCTGAACACACATGTGCAACAGCTTATGGAAGAGCACTGAGTATTCATGAAGGAGGCACCGAACCAACATGCATGTAACATACGACCTGTTTTCACTCTGGGGTTGTGAGAAACACTCACCCGTCCAAATCCCAAGAATGGACTTAGAGGCATGAAGAACAGCAAGAGTGAGACTTTCATGGTGGTCTTGCAAGATGAGGTGTCTGATGGGCAGGCACAGCCAGCCCGGTTTCAACAAGCCATGTACCCCCAGTGCGCGGTCCCTCCCCAGTCCTCACGGCTGAGTACGGTGGGGTCGCAGACTTCCCGGACGGTCCCTCCCCGGTTCTCACGGCTGAGTACGGTGGGGTCGCAGACTTCCCCGACGGTCCCTCCCCGGTCCTCACGGCTGAGTACGGTGGGGTCGCAGACTTCCCGGACGCCACCTCAGTCTCCTTGTCCTCCTGTAAGGCTACGTCTTGTCCCCTTCCCCACTTCAAGTCTGGATTTTCCAATGGTGACAGTTTCTTTCCTTTTAATGGGTTCACCACCCCCCTTTCTCCGTCCCCTTTGACTTCCATGAGTCTTATCGCTCTTTCCAGATGTATGAGTACGTATGTATGTGTTTACACACACATATGTACATAACAGAACGAGGCGCTGTGTGGCTTTCCTGCCTCAGCCCTCACATGGTAAACACGTGTCCTTGCATGTTCTCCTCAGCGCCGTGCGTTCCTCCATGTTGCTGCCATCTTGTTGTTCAGAGTGCCCCAAGTCTGTACTATGTGGCTTGTCATGTCTGCAAGGGAGCTGCCGGGACTTGCCAGGGCCTGTTTTCTGAATATGGACCACTTAAAAAGTACTTCTTGGCTGGGCACAGTGGCTCATGCCTGTAATCACAGCACTTTGGGAGGCTGAGGGGAGATGGAGACCATGCTGACCAACATGGTAAAACCCTGTCTCTACTAAAAATACAAAAACTAGCTGGGCGTGGCAGCTGGCACCTGTAATCTCAGCTACTCGGGAGGCTGAGGCAGGGGAATTGCTTGACCCTGGGAGACGGAGGTTGCAGTGAGCCAAGATTGCACTACTGCACTGCAGCCTGGGTGACAGAGCAAGCCTCCATCTAAAAAAAAAAAAGTACTTCTTATAGGGTGGAGCCTTCACATGTGAATGTGTCGCAGTGATGCCCTAAACGTCAGAGGTCTCCTCGGGACACGAAGGCGCTCAAGTGCGCAGCCTCTAAACCGGCCAGAGCCGGTCCACGGTGGGGGTCCCTTATCAGCGGGAGGCTCCTGAAGTCAGTCTCCCGCCCAGTCAGAGCTGTGGTCACGGCAGTGGAACGGGGTCTGCGGGTGGATGAGCTGCAGGCGTTTGAATCTTGCTCATCGGGGGGCCAGTGCGTGTGTAGCCGCTGGAGGAAAAGCAGCCGCTGTGGCGGTGGTGAGGGCAGAGTCCGTCCTCTAGGTGTGGGGCACGCGGCTCCACCCTTGCCTGCCGTGCCTGAGGTCCTGTCTGTAATTTGGTATCTTATTGCCACAGTGTGCTCTGTAGGTCTTACGGTCTCTATTTTAACTTTAGTGCTGGGCAGTGGTTGTAGCTAAACCTAAAGGTGGGGGGGCGGGTAGCCAGGCATGTCTGACCGCCCTTCCTGACATGCCAGGAATGCAGTTTTTCAGGGGTCTCCATGGCCAAGCCGGGGTCCATTAGGCAGCTAAGGGGCTTAGGATTTTATGTTTAGTTTACAGCGGCGGCGATGGTGTCACAGTGAGATCAACTTCTCATGGACCCGTTTTGTGTCTTCTGTGCTGGTTCTTTGGATAGGTGCCCCTTAATTTTAAGGTGGTGACACCGAGAGGCCTGGCACGGGGCTTGGAAGACAGGGCTGGGAAATGGGCCCAGCAGGAGTTCTGGGCGGGGGCTGACAGGTGCCTCGGAGAAGCAGAGCACAAATGGCAGCCTCCCTGGGAAGGGACGAGGGCTGCTGACCACCCGCACCCAGCACGGCCACTCCGCGGGTCTGGAACCCAAGACCACAGCCCAGGAGGTGGTCATGCTGCCCAGGCTGGAAGGGGCTGAGTGCGTCCTTCCCCTGGAACACACAGGTCCTGTCGCCTCTGAAACACAAGGACAGGTGGGCACAGAACAGGGCAGGAGGCGCAGAGGCCGTGGGCGTGGGAAGTCATCCAGAGCTCAGGGCTGGGAGGTCTGGGCGCAGTTTACAGCTGCCCACACCCCCAATGCCATGGCTCTGGGCAGGTCACTGAAGGCTCCTGCCCCCCAGGTTGTCCCTCATAAGATGGCCACAGTCCTGGGTCCTGCCATGGAGGAAGGACCAGGCTGGATGAGGAGTTTGTACCACAAGAACACTTCCTAAGGCCGGCTTCCTGCACAGGAAGTCTGTGCCCGGGGGCTGCTGGGGCCAGGGCTGCATGATGCCCCTGCCTGCGGCTCTTCCAGACCCCAGAACCCAGTGGGACCAGGCCCACCCCAACTCCTGCCCCGAGAGATCCACATGGGGCAGGACACAGCACAGACGTGATGGGAGGTTTATGGGCTGGGCCAGATCACAGGCAAACGCACACCCCTAATCCTGGCACTGCAGCTCTCAGCGGCACGGAAGGGGACGCTGTGGACCTGGGGACAGCAAGGCTGGAGGGAACAAAAGCCCGAGAGCCTCAGCACCTCATAGGCTCACTCCCTCCCCCACTCACACCTCCCCTACACACCTCTCTCCTACTCACCCCTCCCCTACTCACCCCTCCCCTATACACCCCTCCCCTGCTTACCCCTCCCTGCTCACCCCTCCCCCACCCCGCCCCACTCACCCCTCCTCCACTCACTCCTCCCCCACTCGCCCCTCACCCACTCCCTCACACCTCCACCAGTTCAACTCCAGCATGGCAGTGTGGCCCCCAGGCCCATCTCAGGGAAGCCGCCTCTGGAACCAAGGCCAGGAGTTTTGGGACAATGTGGACCCTGGCAGCAGCTCTGGGCCCCTGAGACACATTCACCCTCCCCAGCTCTGTGGCTGCCCCACAGGACTGCTGGAGCCCCCCCAGGGCCTGGCTCCGCTCAGCAGCCTCACCCCTCTTGCTACCCCTGGGGAGACCAGCTATGGACAGAGTGCCTGTCCCTGCAGCCCTGGTCTCCTCCACAATGACACATGGGACCACACCCTCCTCCAGGACGCCAGCCCAGCAGCCTGGGGTTGTCACGGGATTCTTGAATACCCATTGCTCAGGCATTGCTGGTGAGAGCACAGATGGGCAGGGGCCATGGCACCACTAACCAAGCCTGCCGGCCCTCCTGCTCCATGTGGCCTCACGTAGAGATTCAGGGTCCCGGCTCCCTCCTGATCCGGTGGTCCTGGACACTTACCCCGAGGACCTTGTCCGCACACCCCCAGCCTCCCAGGTCTCTCCCAGACAGCCCTCAACTCTGCCTGGTAAGAGCCGCCACACTCTCCACCAGGTCGCTGTGTGCATTTGAGTGCCAGCTCCGAGTCCTGCCCCAGCAAATGACCCCTGCATGTCAATGCCAGAGGCCGCAAGCCCCAGCACCAGGACCTCCCAGAGTCCCACCCCACGGAGCTCACTGTGCTCAGCACAGCCACCTC